AATTTAAGATATATATAAAAGTGTCAGACCTTCCGGAACATTTTCAAAAGTTAAGTTGAAAAAGTTAATTTTTTGTGAAAAAGTTGTCTTTTTAAATCCCCCCCTGTGGGCAGATAAAGGGTCAAATTTACAAAAAAAATATACCAAATGATAAGTAAAGACATCAAGCATCTATAAAAAATATATATTCATATGTTCATTTTTGAAAAAGTTACAGCAGTTTTTAGTAAAAAAAATTGAAAAAATTTCGAAAATTAGCGATTTTTAAATTTGTAATTTTTTTGGAGGTTTCTCCCATTTACGGGGAACGAGGGAAATTTTTTCAATTTTGAAGGGTAATGTCTTCGACTAGATACGATTTGTGATCTTTTGACGTAACGTTGAAAGAAATCTGTTTGGTGAGAGCTGAGAAAAAGTGGTAACAGACACAAAAAAAAAACACATCTTAGTAAAACCAATACCTTTTCAGCTTCGCATCGAAGCTAATAACAATGGCTTCAAAATGCAGAATATTATTTTAGAAAACGCCATTATTTATGGAAGCATATTTTTGTGATATTTTCTATATTTCTAAAATTGAGATGGTTTTTCAATGTTTGGCAAGGTTCAACTAGATTGAAATCGAGTTTTTTTGGCGTATTGACCATAAAAATTGGCTCAGTGAGACCTTAGAATTTTTAGGGACAGACATAAAAAAAAGCACTTATCACAAATCTAATACCTTATTAACTTCGCATTGAAGCTAAAATTAAAAATCTTAAGTGTTTTGTTTAAAAATGAAACTTAAATAAAAGTAATGAGGGTTATTATAACTTACGTCTATATCACTATTATATTCATAATTTTCTATAAACAATACCATCAAGTCTTTAACTTCTAAAAAATTTAAATTGATTTTAAGTTTAATCTTTTTTATGATTTATTTATTTACAAAATATAATATTGTTCTAAAAGATTTTTGATTATACAAAATTTTATTTTTTTGTAAACCAAATATTATTTTCAACATTAATTAATGTGAATATAACTTAATGTGTAAAAAGAAATCTATAGTGATGCATAAATTCTACTCAGCTCATAAATACACGTTTTATAACATTTAATCAACAGATTCAGAGGAAAGCTATCTTTATTTTGCTTTCGTCCGTTAATGCACAAATCTTTATTTATTGTTTAACAGAGGGTTATTAATATTTATATGAATAAATTTTATTTATACTTACGTTTATATAAAAGTTTATTTCTTCCGTATTTATTTATTAGTCCTACTGCTATATTTGTTGTTATGCGATTCATTTTTTTATAACACTTATTGAATCTATTTAAAATTATCTCAATATTTCGAAGGGTTTTACATTTTTTAATTACTAAAGATTTGAAGTCAACCATCTTATTATCTAAAAATTCGAAATTTTTTCTTATTTTAGAAAATTGTATATTCTTATTTTAAACAAATAAAAATCAGTCTACTGTAGTTTTAACCCAAGAAAAATTGTTTTAATTTATCATTTACTCTTTTTTACTGTCAAATAATTAAAAATTTTTGCTTATTACCTCGATCATAATGATTTATAATATTAAGTATTTCTGAATCATCTTGACATTTATTTTTATTGATTTCTTTTGCTTTAGAAACCGTAATCTTCCCGTTATTATTTGCATGTTCTCCGAAAGATTCTAGAAGGTACTTTTCTGTAGTATTCGTAATTGGAGTAACACTGGAAGTCTAAAAATATACATAAACCCAAACTGTTTAAAATAATAATTTATTTCAATGTTATTTAAACAAATATCAGTGAATAAGTTAGTGATTATTCATAACTATAATAATAAGAAGAGTAATTATAATTATAATATTAGGTATAGCTCGTACTGATACTTAAAACGCATACTCCGCCCGCGCTATATACTCACTATATATGTAATAAAGGAAATTGTAAATCAATGAGTGTGTCTGGTAGAGAGCACCTTTAACAGAGACCAGTTGTCACAAATACTGTTGAGTACATCATATTGCGTGACAAATGATCTCTAGCGTCTTCGCTTACCTAGTCCTCACTAACCCAGCACGACAAATCGTCAGTCTACGCGTCAATTGTCAGTCGTGATCAGGTCACCGTCGTAAGTCAGTCAGTGAATGTTTTTGTGCGTCATCCTTTTATAGCAGGCGCCTGTGCTTGGCCGGTCAATTGTTTGGCTGTTGTACGCCATTTGTGTTATTGCACATCAGTGTTCAAGTTCTTAAAGTTCCAGTGCCCTTGCACGCTTTCAGTGATAGGACCCTGACCATCACTGGAGAACTTTACCGCTGTCCGATTCCGACCGCCATTGCGTGTCCTGCACTTAGACTCTGACCCTTAATAATCAGACATGCAAATGATACACCACCGTCATGGTTTCTATCCTCGTTCTGTGCCCGTCTGTGTTTACACACAGCCATTGTCGTATATTAATGACATTGGTCCTAAACCTAGTCATTGATCACACTATCGTTTACAGTCCAATACTCATCATGATCGAGGACTAATAATTGAGTTAAATCATGATTTTTCGATTTTGATAATATGTTTATTTTACTATTATGTTTTATGCAACCAGTCCTATATCGATCGTAAACTGACTTGAACAACTAGAAGTCCTATGATCTAGTTACCTCATACAAAATAAAGTACTCTTCTTAAATTTGCTATCGATTTATCGAAAATTTTGTAAGGAAAGAGCAAAAAACCGGTTATTTTGAATTTTTGAAAAATTATCTAATTATTAAAATTATAGGTTGATATCAACTTTTGAAGTAATACTTTGAAAAGTGCTAATACTTTTAAACATCCCTATAACAAAATTGTTTTATTTTTATTATAAATGAACATCCGCATTTGGGTCCAAAGGATTAAAATTACTATTTATATAAATATAAATAGTACTTTTCTTAATAAAAATATAATGATCCATACATTTTTTAAGAAGTTAAAATAAAAAAATGAATTTTTTTACAAAAATCGTATTTTTTTTATTAACTTTGATGTCCTTTTTCTCCGTGAAGACAAAATAAAGTCCGAAATTATTTTTTTTTCATAACAAATTATATTACATTAGCTTTAATTTAAGATTTACATAAAAGAGTGAGTACTTTCGGAACACTCAAAACTTAAGTTGAAAAAGTCAATTTTTTGTGAAAAAGTTGAAATTTTCAATCCCTCCCTGTTGGCAAGTAAAGGGTCACATTTGTAAAAAAAGTATACAAAAAGAAAGATAAATAGTTCATGATTCAATTTTTTTTTTTAAACTGCCATAACTTATTAAAAAATGACTAAATCAATGTAACTTTTTTTTTTTTTATAAAAACATAAGGTATTTATCTATCATTTTGTACATTTTTTTTATAAATGTGACCCTTTATCTGCCCACAAAGGGGGATTCAAAATTACATCTTTTCTCAAAAAATTAACTTTTGAAAGTGTTCCAGGAACTTTTATATTTATTCATATATTACACTTATAAATCACAAAACTTGTAATCAGAACATAAATAAGGAAATAGGAGATCATGTAGCTTATGGAATAATCCATTAATTTTTTAAAATTAAACATTGTCTACAGATTTGAATCGAAGCTTTTTTATGATATTTATTTTAATCACTGTCAGATATCATCTATACTGGACCCAAATATGCCACGTTCCCACTGTGCTGAGTTTTTTTTAATTTATGTGCTTAACATATGCTTTAATTTAAGATATTTTTAAAAAACACAGTATTTTCCGAACATTTTCAAAATTTAAATTGAAAAAGTTTTATCTAATTAGATTTTTTTTTATCTATGCTAAATACTACCTATATGGAACAAAAAATTTGTATCCAATTGAAAATTGAGAAATAAATATCACAAAACAAAGAAAATATACTTATTATTATTTTAGAAGAAAAATAGTAGTAAATGCTAAATCAATCTCCCTCTATAGTTTCACTTGACTTAGCATATTACATTTACCAGATATTTTTATTTTACAAAATAAAAAAAATGCCTAACCTTTTTAGTAGTAGATCTTGCTAATGCACATGTATAGTGTAAAAATAAAACAATAAATGTATAAATTTTCATATTGAAATTTAATTTTACAATAATGTTTAATTCTTATAAAAATTAAAAAACGTGAAGTATGAAAAACTAATTTGTTATATTAAATAGATTCAAATAAATTACTTTATATAACTCAATATGTTTGAAGAAGTTAACCAGTTGTTAAAACAATACATAGAACAATTTGCAAAATATAAACATTTTAAACCATAAAATAATGAGTACCATGAAATAAATTATTTTAAGTCTTTGTTTAATTAGGTGATTTTTTTTTTATTTATTATTTGAGCTACCCATTTCTAAAAAATAATAATATTGTAGTTGAAAATTGATTATTATATTAAATGTAGTATTAAATAATTTTTAATCCTCTTCTTAATAAAAAAAAAAAAATTTATTTATTAAATTTAATAATGCGTAATCAACGCTCACTTCGACTGTTATTATGACAAACTATTAATTTTGACAAGAGAATCTAAAAATACTTGTTAAAAAAATTAATCGTTTAAAAATAGAAATCGGTACAGTCAAGACCCAACACAGTGGAGAACCAACATACAAGGAGTAATTAAACATCATAATCTGGCAATGATTAAAAAAAGTGAAAGTTTATTAAAAAAGTATTCACAGAGTATTTAGAAATGTGCTTTGCTTAAGTATGACTATCAGTCATATATAATTATCAAAACTATGTAAATAAAAAAACGGTAGCACAGTGGGGTCGCGGCAATGTGAGCGTGGCATAGTTGGAACAAATATAGATGATATTTGACAGTAATTAAAATCACTATCTACTCGCTAGAGGTAGAGGTCATTTTGGAGATGAATAGAAGAAAAACTCAATTTGAGTGGAAATTTAGGGGAATATTAAGGTGTTATTTATTTCTGTTTTTGGACACTTCAGGGGGTTATTAAAAAAACAATTTTAGAGATAAAAAAAAGAAAAATGGGTCCTATTTTACACCCCTCAGGACACCTATTTATGTATTACTAGAGTTTAAAAAAATTTACATTCTGTACATCAATGGTGAACACTTATTAGGATTCGATATTAAACCGAATCATATTAAATTATGAAAGATATTACATCTACGGGTGTAACTCCAATTGAACTATTAATTCAAACATCTAACAAACTAAATAAAATTTAAACAATAACTTACAGAAAATTTCTATCAAAAATTATTTATTAATATTAATTTATAAATATTTATTATTTATTGTAAAGATTTATTATTGTTTTCGTTATTTCATATTCTTTACATTAAACATTTTTTTAATCCATATATTAAAAGAAAACGGTAGCACAGTGAGGTCAAGGCACAGTATGAGCGTGGCATAGTTGGGACTAGTATAGATGATATCTGACTGAGATTAAAATTACTATCATAACGCTTCAATGCAAATCTGTAGATTATGTTTAATTTTAAGAAATGTTAATTAATTTCATTAATTATGGAGAACGAGGGCAAAACTTTTAATTTTTGAAGGTAATATCTTCAACTAGTGACAATTTGTGATTTTTTGACATATCGTTAAGAAAAATCGGTTCAGTGAGAGCTGAGAAAAAGTAGTGACAGATACACACACAAAAAAAAAAATTAATAAATAAATAAACACAAAAAATACCTCTAGTTGTGTCATTTGACGGTATTTTTATTTAATACTCCTCTACATTTAAATTTTATAGTTTTAAATTTTTTTTTATTTATTATTTATTTTTTATATTTGTGTAAATATTATTTATAAAATCTTTTTTGAATTATAATCATTTGTTATAAGCAATTCAACAAGATATAAAATCGTTTATAAATTAAAAAAAAAATCACTTTTAATTATTATGTGTTGCTTTTTCTTAGGATATCACAAAAGCACACATTTCCTTATCATGAAAGGTTATTAAATTTAATATAAGATAAATTGAAAGATTATATGATGCAGTATCGTAATGGTTGAGGAATCTTGTTACTTTCAGGCTACTCATAGTACGAGATGATCGGCTCATTGAAATTTATCATTGTCAGATATCAGCTTTACTGAAGTCCGCTATCCAGACCTCCAATATTATTAAAAAAACCTTTTTCATTCGGGTCGCAACGACTGTAATAGGTTTTTTTATTTAAATAATTTAATTATAGTGGTGTAGTATCGAGTCTATAAAAAAGCAGTGCCAGATGCCTGAATTGTGTAAAATATAAAAGAAATTATTATAGAATCTTTAAACTAATTAAAAGTTAACTATTTATCTGCTGAATTTAGATTTGTTAGAAAATATGGGACCACCCTTTATGTATAAGAGAAATATTGTAAATAAATAATTTTCCATTATTCTTAAAAAAATGCATTTATTTTAATTTTACTGTTTTTCATTATGTTATCGAAATATTCAGAAATAATATTTGTTTTTTAAAATTTTAGTGTTAAAATATGGTTTTTTTAGCAAACAGTTGTTTTCAACAAAAGCTTCATTGCGTTATTTATTTTTCATATTGTTTACTGATATATGAATATTGTTGTCATGTATTTTTGAAGTTACTAGAATTATTTTCAAACAATATATTTTATCATTCTAAACAGAATGATTATATATGATGATATATATATATATATATATATATGATGATTTATATTGATATAATTCAAGGAC